TATAAGCTCCTGACGTACAGGGTCTGGTTGATCCAGTATGAAATAAACGCAGCCAACTCAGTTTGGCTGCGGCTGTAAGAATTCAAGTTTGAGCTGTGAACTAAATGGAGCTTTGCCTTTGTTCACAGAAAAAGCCTCTCTCCGCTATCATCAAAGAAGTGTGTGATGGGTAAGTGCACAAATGCACGCATTTTGCCTTTTTCTTCTTTTGCCTTAATTCTCCGTTAACTCTTGGGAAAACCCATTCTCTATGTCCCTAATTCAATCCTATTTAATCCATTTTAGCACTTTTTAATGGCAGTTTTGCAAAGTGATTCTCTCTGATACTTTACAGATGGTCTCTGGGGAACCCCGAAAGCTTTGCTCTGCAAATTGCTGACGCAACCAATTTCTACATCACTGAAAAGGTTTGGTTCTCTGTTCAAAACGGGCGTATTCATGATGGGGGGGGGGGGCGAATACCTGGTTTTGAATGCTTAATGACCTATTTTTCGTATGGAAATCCTCCACAGAATCGCAACGATATCAAGAACGGCTCAATCCTGCGTTTGACCACCTCTCCGGTGAGGTTATGTTTGTTTTTTTACATCCGCAGTCATATTTTTTTGGACGGTTTTGTTCAATTGTGTGTTTGTGGGTCCCTCCCTTTTCTCTTTTATCTCTCTGGCCCTCCAGTACCAGACCGCCGTCCAGCTTCATGAACGGATCCAGTCCTCCAGCATGGACGCCAAGCTGGAGGCCCTGAAGGACCTGGCCAACGCCTCCCGAGACATTACCTTTGCGCAGGAGTTCATCAACCTGGACGGCATCTCCCTGCTCACCCAGATGGTGGAGAGCGGGACTGAGTAAGTCGATTGTCTTTCCATCTCATTTGCTCAGCTGGAGCCGTGTTTTCCTTTTGTCTTACACAGTATCTCCATCTTCCCCGTGTGGTGAGTGGGACTTTGATTTGTTTACTGATCTTTTTAAATGTAATTATCTTTTCATTATTTAGACTGAACTGAAAGCTTTACTGCAGTCATTTGATAAATTTTATTTGTGGCTGCATTTTATCTTAGTATTTGTTTTCACATGGACAAAGACTGATGGAGATTTGGAGCAGTGTATGAAAGTCTTTCTTGTTAGATCCACTTGTGGTTTTCTCAGAATTAAGCTTCCACCCTGCAGAGTTCTTAGACTCAGAGATTTTTAAAAAAGTCTTTGGAGTTGCATTGTGCAGTCGGACTGGTTAAAGTCAAATCAGTTCACCATCCTCCTGTTTAGTTTTATATTTTAATTCTGGTTTCTAATGATGTCAGTCTCACCGCACATGCAAAATGCAGAAATCATGGAATCTCAGCATCATGGGATGCATGTGATCCAAAGCCTGTCTTCATCAGAGGTGGAGTCAGACAACAGATTTATGCTTCCGGAAATTCATCCCACCGAGAACCTGCACTCATCGAAAACTGTATAGAAACTTGGGAAGGCTAAACTCCCCTTCCATCTTCTTTTGTACATCAGTAGAAGAGCCATAAATAAGATCCTAAACAGAAGCGTCATAAACTGGTCGAGGATGTAGGAGACAGGAAGGCTCTGCACCGAGTGATTGAATATCTGTGGGGAGAGTTTGTTGAGGAAGAAAAACCCACCCAGCCACAATCTGTTCGCTCTGCTGCAATGTGGGAATTTGAGAGACATTTATTCATTTTTTTTCTCTCGCCGAGCAGATGAGCCTTGTAATTGGTTGAAGTCTAAATTGAGGAACACCTACACAAACTATAGTTAGAAAACCATAATCAAGTTGGACATAAAATTCTTAAAGTTCTTTATGTTTTTAAGTTGCAACCGGGAAAAAAAAAAAGCCGTGATACAAATTATGACAAGATTAATCCAAATGGTCTAATCCAAATGGACTAATCTATTAATAATCTATCTAATAATGTAAAATGTATCTATCTATCAATTGATTATGAGGTTGAACCACAGACTGTATCCAGGTAGGTATGATGAAGATGTGGAGATACTGGCTTGTGTATTCATTTAAATTGCTTTTGATTTTTTGATCATTTTTGGATATTATTCTGAAAACAAGAGGAGTGCTCTGCATGGGCTTTCAGATCAGAATATATGTGTTAAAGGGGGGTGGGAGGGGGGCCTCTGGAGACCGTCCCATCTGAAGGTTAAAGGCAGGACTTCTTCTGGGGTAAATTTCCCTGCTCTTGCCAGAGTCAGAGTGAATGTGTCTGTGCTTTATCGGAATACTGTACGAGTGTGTAAATTAAGCCGAAAGCGGAACTGCGGTACGAACGCATTTATAGACACACCTGCAGACATATGCTGCAAACTGGCAGCTGCAGCTGTTCGCCAAGTGCCTCTTTATTCGCACAATTCTCATTTTCCCCACAAAAAAAAGAACCATTTCCTCGCACTACAATGTGTAAATGTGCTGTATATTTACACGATGCCAAACGGGGCCCTTTCCGCAGAGCAGGAAAAAAAGAAGCATCTGCATACCTGACTCCCATTCAAAGGTTTTTAACCCACCTCTGTCCAAAAAACTGTCATTTCTATGAATCCTCACAGTGAAGGACGGAGATAAGTAGGTCTATAATGGCAGGCCTTCTGTTTTGTTCTGCCGCTACATTAAGGTTCAAACTCCGGTCAGACATTTAATGTCTTCGGGGGGGAAAGCAAAATAACAGTCTCCTATTTCAGGAAATTAGCCCGCAGCACCTTTGGCATCACACACTCACCTCTGTTTGATGTAAAACCATTGAGACCTGCTCTTCCTTTTAAGTAGCATGTTCAAATGATTAATCGCCTCGCCCGGTTTAATCTCCCTGCGACGAGCTGTTTGGGCAGCTCTGATCTCAACTCTTTGATTAAACCCGTCTTTATGTTAATCACCGTCACACTGGTTCTGCAGCTCAGACAGGTCTGGGAGTGATGCGTCCATCTGAGTGCTGCAGTTTTAATGGCAGCAAAGGGAGCCTCTGAAACTCTGAGGTGCAGATAGTTATCAGACAGCACACGTGCACGCGCTTATTAGCGCTGCCGTCGGCCAGCTGTAATTATGCAGGAGGCACAGGGGTGAGACTCCGGAGGGCAGAGTGGTTCGGTAATCTAATGCTCCTGCCAAACGAGGCTGTGTTGTGTTCATGTGGAAATCAGTTGTGTGTTGCTGTGTCCGAGCCCCGCCAGTGAAAGGGAGATATTGCCCTCTACTGATGACACACGGAAGAGCAAAATTCCTCCCTCTTCCCTTCATAAACAGGTCTCAATTTCTCATATTCTTCTTCCAAAACCATTTAGTTGTTTTAATTTGTACTAAGTTTAGAAAGAAAAATAATCTGTTTTTTGAACAAGATGGGAATAAAAATTCAAATGAGGCCCTAAAGATTAAGTTTTTTGCTTGTTTATTTTGATCTCAGTTCATGTTCTCACTGTCATCCATTAGATCTAATTTGTCAGTTTCTAATTGAAAGTACTCCAACTTAAACTTGATTTCACTGCAGTTTAGTTCATGATACAAAAGCTTCAATAGTGTTTCATTTGTCTCCTGTCATTACTTCTCTTTTTTTCATAGATTAGATACATTGTTCACATGATATGAAAGATTATAGTCCAGTCAAAACAAAAACAGCATTTTGAAAAAAAAAAATATATATATATGTAAGTTCGAAAATTTTTGAGAAGCTTGATTTGAAAATCAGTCCATTTAGACTGTTTGTCAACCTTAACACGGTTTTTTTTTATCTCAGTTAATTCAGTTATATTAACATCTCCCCTGATCTTAAAGGTTAGAAGTGGCTAAATGTATTGGATCTTTTCTCTCCCGCAGCATTGCAGTCTGTTTTGTTTTGCTTGTGGCTACAGTGCTGTTTGGTACAGGCAGAAATGCTGCAGAAAACTGAATGTATGCTGCAAATACATAAATATGGAGGAGTATCGTTTGGTTTTCATGTTTTGCTGAGCGGTTATTCAGCTCAACATGGCAGGTTTGAAATGTGCAACCTTGTTTTGGGTTTTTTTTTGTCGATTTATTATCCATTTAAATTTTTTATTGTTCTCTGTACTTGAGCTTGAGCCTGTATGATCATGCAATTTGCAGAAGACTAGCTTTTTAACTATCTCTGCTTTGCATGTTTCCAGTGTCTGAGCAGGTTTACAAGTCGAAAGGAGTCTGGGTATAAAATAAAAAAACAGAGTATGACTAGAATATTGTTATGTCCCACTCTATACTAAAAGAGCTTAACTCTATGCAGTTTTTGTTGTATTTTCCCACCTGTGACACCAAAGTTTCTCAAATCTTTGCAGGCGCTATCAGAAACTACAGAAGATTATGAAGCCCTGGTAAGCCCCCAAGTTTCCCACTACCCCCCCACTCCCCAGTGGGTAACGTCATTGGCTCTTTGCTCTTCCTAACCTGCTGGTCAAGTCTGCATGATGAAGACTTTGGCCTCGGTGCCCTATCGAATCTTCAATCTTTAACACAACCATTTTCAGGCTTCAATTCTGAAGTTAGTTTTGCATTTTAAATTCTTGCATGCGGTTTTGGGCAACACAATTATATATATAAAAAAACAAAAAACAAATACAACAACTCTCTGCTACAGGCTGGAAAAAGGCCAAGATTTAATTCTGTGGATTTTGTAGCTGTGAACAAGATTTTAAAACCAGCAAATTACTTATTTTGCTTCTAAAATTTGGCTCATCTATATTAAAACTTCATGTCAGTGCTTCCTGAATCAAATCTTGGTGCTCTTGACAAAATGGTGCTCAGGTAGAGGGGGTTGCCTCTGTGCTCACTGTGAGCCTGTAATTACTTTATATTATCAGTCAATACACCTAATTACCAAAAGATAATCACTCATCCTTCAGCAATAATTTCTTCTATGATCTATCTTGAATAGCCCATAATCTACATCCAGTATTCAATGATTAAAGGTTGCCCTTTACAGTTTTTCTAAATTCTGTCCATGTGACTCTTCACTAATGCAGCAATTTGGACGCATGATATTCTGTTTCTTTGCTTATATTAGCAACAAGTTTAGCCTAAAGGACTTATTTTAACTCATTGTGAACCATTTTTGTAAGTTATTTTTAACCTTGCATAAAACAAATCTGACATCTTAAAAAAACATGCCATTATTTTTGTTTTATTATAGAGTCTTTATGTTGTAATTATGTATTGTGTTTTATTACAGCATCATATTTTTTGCCAGAAAATAATCTTAAAGATAAAACACGTGGCTGTGTGCAGGAAAGCTGCACGGTTCTCTCCCTAAACTGTAGATGTCAGCATTGTTAAACCAACCAGTAAACCACTAAACAACCAAAATCTCCACATAACACTTTGACAAATGTCAGAAGTGACGTCACTCTCTTCCAGCGCTACCTTGAGAAGCTGCCGCTTAATGTCCTCTCTGCTCCGTCCACCTGGTTTATTTCTCCTGATCTCTGTGTAACTGCATGACCTCGCTCCACGTTTTAGCTTTGGGGTCCCGACTGACCGCCGCCCGGCTCCTGCTGTCCCTCTGCCGGCCTCTGCTGCTGTTTGCCGACAGCCTTTCTCTGTGTTGCGTCCCTCACCGTTTCCTCCTCTTTCCTCATCTCTGTTTTTTTTCTCGGGCCTTTCTGCAGCAAGCCCAGATCGCAGCATTGAACTTATGTTTCGTCCGCTCTCCGCCACCTCTCTCTCTGTCTCTGCCGGCCGCTCATTCCTTCTTTGTGCCATCTGGGCTCTGCAGCTAGACTCTGCTTCCAGCCATCTGGTGGAGAAAAAGTTTCCTATGGTTTGTGTGTGTGTGTGTGTGTCTGTGTGTTGCCCTGTAGTTTCGGCGACCTGCTCTCCTTCACTCTGACGGCCTTCGTGGAGCTGATGGATCACGGGATCGTCTCCTGGGACACGTTTTCTTTGGCCTTCATCAAAAAGGTCAGCCAGGAAAGTGTCGCATTAAGCAGGGCCCGAGATTTAAGAAGAGTTTGCGCTCGTAATGCTGTTATCGTATTGTCAGCTGGACGGAACATTTCTGACGTAACGGTCACTTAATGACTTTCACAGACTCTCAAATATTTGTGGTACGTTAGAATGTGATACATTTTTATGATTAGGTTTCAATGCGGTCATGAAACCAACCAACTGACATTTATTTTGAGTAATGAAAGCTAAAGTAGAAAACACTAAAGTAGAGATTCTCCTATAAGACTCATTGAAATTAAGCTTCTCAAAAGGTTTGGGTTAATTGTGGAGAGCGAGAAATGGGTTTTTCATTAGTTCCTGTGTCCAGAGACCATCAAATCCCTTAATTCCTCGCTTTGGCTCTGCCCCCGCTCCAGATTGCCAGCTACGTGAACAAGTCGGCCATGGACACGGCGGTTCTGCAGCGCTCCCTGGCCATCCTGGAGTCCATGGTGCTGAACAGTCAGGATCTCTACCACAAGGTGGCACAAGAGATCACCATAGGGCAACTCATCCCGCATCTCCAGGGGTGAGAAACACACCTATGTGTGCATGTGAACACTGATCGTCCTGACAAAGTGGTGACAAGACAAGCATGCCATAATAAAGAGCTAAATTTCTCTTGTCGGACTCTTTCGTCTTTTCTTCTCTTTTTCTTTTGGATTACAGAAGCGATCAAGACATCCAAACTTACACTATTGCGGTCATCAATGCTCTGTTCCTCAAAGCCCCCGAGGAAAAGAGACAGGTGAGGCTACACTGTGCACGCGCAGACCTCCCAGGCTTTACTGCTTTTGCCACTTTGGCTGTGTGCATCAATTCATGTTTTGGACCGTACCATCTAAGGTCCGTTTCAGTGTGAGTTTTGGTGAGATTGAGCTGCGAGGAACCTGATAAAAGCGCATATCTCACGCCACCGTCTCTGTCTCTTCTATGTCGAGCTTCTCCCCCGTAGCTGATCACAGGAGCCCTTGCATCAGCACCACAGGGTATCCAGGGATGCGCTTTGGCATAAATAATGAATGGCGCTCACCCACGGCCGTCCTTTTCGTGAAGCAGACAAAGTTTAAAAAAAACACGCTTGGCAGAAAAGTGCCCCGCAGCATACATAAGATGAGCACGCTCTGATGCCGCAGGCTTTTTCTTGATATTTCGGCTCGGTTTTCTTAGGTAAAGGTTGTGTGCCTGGTTTGCTTCATTAGCTCATTGACATGGTATCTGCTTGCCTTCCTTTTGTTCTGGGAGTTGCATGCGTAGCAATAGGCATCTTTTGAAACCTGCTTTTGGATAGTTAACATTTTAGACTGACTATTTTAAGGTTTGTGACACCATTTTGGTTCTTGGTTTTTGGTATGTATGCATTTACAAGTAGGAAGAATGTGTGTTTTTGTGCGTTTGAGAAGGCCTCTACCATCATTAAATCACTATTAATATGATCCCATAGTCTGTGACTGTTCTGCTGACTCTGCCACCCCCCCCCCCCAACACCATCACAAGCTGCACCACTGACAGAAATGATCTTTTCTTAATCCTCCTCCTCAGACTTTATTTTTCCTACCCGCCACATTCACTCACTCATCTCTCTATCTTTCTGTCTCTGACCTTGTCTCCTCACTGCACACGTCATGGTAGTTTGACGAGCACATTGTGGACATCCTAAAATGTCCTCTGACAGTAAGTGCACCCTTGATTAGCCCACTTTGTAGTTTGCACTATAGAAGACATCAGTTAGTGCATTTAGTATCCTTTTTAAGTTCATTTGCCAGAAGGTTTCCTTACAATTTTACAGCCTGTTGCTGCGTACTCTGCAGCCGGTGTTTTGGTTTGTTTTTCTTGCTTTAATTTTTCATGATTTTGTAGCGATTCTTAAGGTTTTTTTTAATTATCCCCAATATATTGTCACCTCATCTGTTTCCCTCTCACTGTTTCTCTGCTCTAAACCCTGCCTTTTGTTCTCTTTTGCCCCTCCTTGTGTGTGTGGCTGCAGGAGATGGCCCATATCCTTGCCCAGAAGCAGCTGCGCTCCATCATTCTTACTGTAAGTTCAGCCACGTGTTTTCCCTCTTAAAGACTGCACTGCACTGCATTCCTCTGTGTTTTGAACAGATCTGTGTTCACAGCTCTACCTCCGACCTAATGAGTAAGGAAAATGAGTCATGATTATCATACACTCTCTGTCTCTTATGAGCCTCTTTTTCTCTTTTGTCACATCTGCCTTTTGTGATTTCTCACATCTCTCTATCTCGCTTCTCCATACATCTCATTTTCCTTTGTTATATCTCACCATCTTTCCTCATCTGCATTTTTAAACCCATTTTCTTTTCTTTTTTTCATTGCTTTGCCACTTTTTTCCAGAATGTGATCCGCAGCAACACCACCATTAACGATGAGATGGCACATCAGCTCTATGTGCTGCAGGTGCTAAATTTTAACCTGCTGGAGGACCGCATGATGACCAAGATGGATCCTCAGGACCAGGTGTGGACAAAGAGAGGCTGCAGTGTTAACTCAGAGAGGAAGCACCAACCTTTTTATGCTGAATGCACATGGTTTCTATTGCTCTTTTCAAAGCCTAGTTACAATGGACTTTACTTTGAATTGAATATGGAATTTGGAGCTCAAACACAAACGATGGTGACACAAAGGGATATGGGGTAAAACATATTGATTACTAATGGAAAAGAGCAGTACTGGATCAAAGGAAAATAGACAATTGGGTAAGACCCTTACACAGTACAGAGAATACAAAGTCTGATTAAACCAGCGATATTCAACTGTTTAAGTATTATTCCAGTTAGATTTAGCTTTTATCTTTTCAATTTTGGGGAAGCCAAAGCCAGACCAAAGCCAAAATGCATTTAGTTCTCCCTCATTTATTCCAAATCAAAATTGATGGTATGTATCCTCTGATAGTCTGGTGATAATCTTTGGCTCTGTACTTGTCAGGCGGGTCTCTCAGACAGAATTAGGCTTCTTTCTGATGAACAGACCACAGAAAAAGAGACCAAAGTAGGTTTTCAGGAGTGATCAGAGGGAAGGAATGTGTCTACACACATAGTGGCCTAAAGTTTCCATTGCTTTGCTAACGTCAGTACACTTTCATTAAATATGCGGCATTCTTGTAAGGGCGCTATTTTTGACAACTTTGATCTTTTGATACATACTTTGATCAGTTACAAAATGATGAGGAGTTTCAACAGACTTGATGTCATCACGTTCTTGTGGATCCGTCGCTTTGGGATCGGCAGGAGGCCGAGTTGAAAGCGAAGCGTTTGAGAGAAAACGGCATCAGGCTTTCTGAGCCACACTTCACCTTCTCCTCTGCATGTGCAGGCACAGAGAGACATCATTTTTGAGCTGCGGAGAATCGCCTTTGATGTGGAGTGCGAGCCCAACAACAGCGGCAGCATCGAAAAGCGCAAGTCCATGTACACCCGCGACTACAAGAAACTCGGCTTCATTGTAAGTCTACATGGATTCCATAAGGAGCTTCATGAAGTCAATAATGACTTGTCTGATTCTCTGTGTTTGTGCAAGTCTTGTTTTTAAATGACGTTTTTCAGTTTTGATGTGTGTCTTGCTTCCTCGTGGGTACGTTTTAAACCTGTTAATGTGTCATATGTGTCTCATGTGCTGTGTTCTAACCAGAGTTTGAGGATTTGAACTAAACCCACTGTGGCTCGCTGTGAGCCCGGAGCTCTTTACAGGTTCTTCTCACCCACATTCCCAACGTTGTGTTCAGTAATGATAAGGCCAGTTGGACTGCCTTGTCTCCACAAAGAAAACCTAACAGCCTCTGTCTGCTTTCTATGCTTGACAGATTGCAGAAACACACACAAGAAAAACACTCACACCCTAAATATTTATGTGGGCTCTATCACAGCCTAGGTCTCTTTTTTGCCCTCAAAAAAACACTTTGAGGGTTTTTACAAACTCTGGAAAAAGTCTACAAATTCATAAGTGAGGGTTATTTTTTTAACTTGATTAAAAGTTAAGTGTTTAGTGGAATTCAGAGGCTGAATGAAGGATAGAGAAAACGATTTGATAGTTGGGGAAAAAACTACTATTATTAGGCAAAAGAGGTGCTCAATAAAGGTAAACCTTGTAATTGATTGAATACAGTTATGCACATTGACATAGTTCCCTTTTAGAAACCATTGAAGTCAGTCAAGTCAGTTTTAAGCGACTTAAAAAGGGTTTTCATGGGAAACCGTGCTCACATTGTAGTGTGAGCAGATCAAAAGTTAAAAGTGGGCACAGTTTGCTTCTGGCCTGACATGCACATGTTTCGGCTAAAGCTTAAAAAGGTGGATTTGGCAGTTTGCATCTCACCCTGCTCCACTTCTCCTCTCAGAACCACGTCAACCCAGCTGTGGATTTCACCCAGATCCCTCCAGGCATGCTGGCTCTGGATAACATGCTCTACTTTGCCAGACACCACCAGGATGCCTACATCAGGGTGAGCGCACACACTGCAGGGTTATTTCGGTGCCGTTCAATCTCTCTTCGTAACCTCCACTTCCTACCAGAGCAGCTCTGGATCTTATTTGTAGTTTTTGGCTCATTCGCACATTTCTTTCTTCCGTCTGAACTGATTTTCATGAATATGTGCATCCAGCAGAGCAGTGAAATGCCTTTTAGATATCAGGACCCAACCAATACTCACGTGGGATTTTTATATGTGACTGAAGATTATTTTAAAATGCAGTCCTAAAATCTAAATGTATCTGTATGGGTGCCTATAATATAACGATACACAGTTGCTTTGGAGAATTGGTTTTAAAGCCATAAATACTGTCTTGATAATCATGTCTGCAACTTTATGTTTCACCATGATGATGTCTGACTCCCCGTCCTGACCTGACAACTTGAAAAACATGTTTTATTCATGCTAATTCACCCCATATCCATTAAGGAAAAAGCACAACCATCGTTTTTTAAATGGATTCCTAAAACGTTTTAGACCTTTTGTGCTGAGCTGTCATCATCCTTATAAATAGATTGAATTTCTTTAATCGTTTTTGGATCTCAAGCAGATGACTTGAAAGGGACAGATAAGGTCGTAGTGCCTATCAGTTATAGCTGCGATTAAAGTTTTTTGGGAGAAATTGCTCTGTACCACAAGCAGTGTAAGAGTGTACATGAATTAAAACCCCATTCAGTCCATGTTTAACCACAAAGCACTTTGCATAGATGTGCAGTGGCCTTTGAAATACTTCATTCTTTTTGAGTAATGAATATCTCATTATAGTCAAGAGGTCTGATGAGGGGTCAGAATAATGAATGCCAATGAATGAGCGGTCAGTTATTGACGCCGATGTGTTGGAGGCAGAAAAACGAGGCCTCCCTGAGAGTGTGAGGGCTTTTGAAAAAGGCCACATTAGAATGGCGAGACAATAAGGTTTGACCATCCTCAAAATGCCACGGCTATTTTTAGTGACTTTTTCCTGTCTGGTCTTTTTCAACGTGCGTCTTTCTAGATCGTTCTGGAGAACAGCAGCAGAGAGGACAAGCACGAGTGTCCGTTCGGCCGCAGCAGCATCGAGCTGACCAAGATGCTCTGCGAGATTCTGAAAGTGGGCGAGCTTCGTAAGTCTTCACCGGCAAAACCAGACACACATTCGATTTAACCGTGCACCTTTTTGTCCTCCTTGGTTCATGGAGTCCACAGTGAGCGTGCATTTACAATACGAGTACACAGATCTGGAGACTGACCACTACACCCAATTTTGGCCTCTTAGGATTAAAGCTGCCATTATGCTCCGTAATTGCACTGCTGGGAGTTCATTATGTGGTGATGCGCCTGGCCCCCACTAAGCCCCTCTCAGCCCGATATTCTGCCTCCTGCAAGCACACTGTGCAGAGAAAGAGGCACTGTGCCTGCGTCCACTCCAAATTGATGTGCCCTTTTCATTTGTCTTCATTTGTTTAAACGGACGAACACTCCAGCCTGACCCCTGCCGCTCCCTGTGGGGAAGAGGAAGCATTTTTAGCTCCGTTTTAAGCTGATGTGCCCTTTTCCTCTCCTTCAGTCGTGTTTTCCTGAAGTTTAATAGTTTACTGAATTGCGTGCTTGTTATGTCTAGTGGTAATTTAATTCTGATTCTCAGCGTTTGGTTTCGTATTTGAGTCGTTGCATCAGGCCGATGCGTTTTATTTTAATTCAGTATGTCACTATAGTTTTTATCTAAACTCTCTTAGCAGTTTTACTAGTGTTAGAAGCCTGTAATATTGACAGTGTGGCCCAAACCCTTTTTGAAATATGGAAACATTCCCGTATCTAAGCTTTACCTGGCGTATTTATCCCCATAACAGAGTGCCAGCCCATTGTTCAGATAACAAACGCTGTTCTGGAGACTAACCCTTTGTTCAGTTTCAACAACCTGCATTTAAAAAATAGACTCAAACCACGTGAACAGGACAAAGAAAAGTCCCCTTTGATGCTGGAAAGGTAACTTTCTTTTAACCTAAGAGTGGTGTCGACCCTGACGTTTCCCTTGGGTCTGGACGGAATAACAACACTGACCTTGACTTGTTTTGAGCCTCTCTACCCACAGTGTCCTCTTTACTGCATCTGTTCGCCTGGAAGACGGAACTTCCTTTGAATTTTAATGATTTGATATGGGTTTTTATTTGTTAAAGGACGGTAAAGATACAAATCAGGACGGTAATGTGGTAAACTCACCTCCTTGTGATGCTACAGAGTGTGGCTTTAATAACATGTTCAGCCGGTTAACATGACAGGAATCCTTTATTCAGAAGCGGGTCATCCATAAAAAACTAATCACAATAATGCCAAGGGAATTATATAAAGCAAATCCCTCGCAGAGAATTACTGGGTGCAATAGGAGAGAAAAGAAAATGCCAAAATGCATATATATATTAATGTCCCAAATTTTAATCTTCCCATCCATCTCTGTCATGGCTGCTGAAATGATCTGAGCAGAATAACTCCCTGAGCATTATGTGCGTCTCATCTGTATGGCAGGAAGCCGCCACATCCCAGAGATGTCATGAGCTCCAAGGAATCTTCTCATGTAGAGAGTTAAGTGCGTTTTCATGCACGCCCCATTAACCCTGCATATATATACACACTAATGATTCTATGAGTTTGATGAATAGAACATGAGCTAGGCAGGTTCTGAGGGTCCATTATGTGTCTGTGTGTGTGTATAAAAATTGTACGTGTGCGTTTGAGTGGGCTTTGCCTTGAGGTGGGATGAGGGATGAAGGATTTTGGTCAACAGTCACACCTGTAAGTGAGAAGGGCGTCTGTCTCTCTGTCATGTACGCCATCGGTTTTTGATCGAGTGCTCTTTAAGTGAGGAGAATGTCGAGGGAAATGCTCCTTCAGTAGCGTGGACCATAGCCATGACATTTCCAGCCACTTTGCTTTAGTGTGCATCTTTCTTCTTTCACATAGCGGTGAAACTGTATTGTATTGCTTGGTTCTTTCTTTCATAATTTAATGGATTGCCATGGCTAATTTTAAACTAAGATAATTTTTTAACAATGTGTCTGACAAACATCCAATATGTTTGTTTCTGTTTGTGGTGTTTTTAGTTTTTGTTTTTGATTTAATTTTCTTTTTGTGGGGAAAAGGTTTATTATGCTCGCTGATTGTTTGGCCAATTCAGAGTATTTTTAATGTTGGAAACCCTTCAAGGATTAAACATCATATCCTGGACTACAGCAGGAATATAGAGTTGGAAAAATGAATGAAAGATAAATCAACAAGGACCATCTTGATGAAATGGTCTTCTTTCGTTAATAATGGACTGTCTATTTCTTTTAATCATTGAGGAGATCTAATTCAGTTCCCCTTCTCATACTTCAGCCTATTCAATTATGTTGGAAACATTCAAACTATTCGACCAGACATCGACTCCAAGGCCCTCGTGGACACCTAAGACACTTCCTTTATGCCGCAAAGCATAAAAAAATCATGGCTGTCCTTTAGTGACAGCTTCTATAAAAAGACCAAATACACTTAGTGCTGAAAAAAGGGGATTTTCAATGTCCTCTTTCAGTGCCACTTTCCTTTGTGGATAATCGCAGAAGGAGACAGCGGATTAATGTTGACAATGGTGACGTCCCTGTGGCTCATTTGCTCTCTCCATCTGCGTGAAATGCTCCTTTGGCTCTGGCACTCGACACTCTTTTCTGGTTAACTGGAGAGCATGAAGCGCAGGGGGATTTGCTGGGACTGCTGAGATGTCCTTTCTTCTCTTTTTGCCTCCTCACTCCGTTTGGCTAAATTCGGATCACATTCCTCACTCTTCATCTTTTTTCTTTGAGGCGTCCTCTTTTATTTCCCTCTGTGGAACATCTGTCCTTCTTAGACTTCCAAGTCCTGCCTCATATTTCCACCTGTTTTTCTCTTTCTTTTTTTATTCCATAAAAATTGGAGGAAAAAAAGACACCAGTGCACAAATATGTGGCATTTTAAAATTTATACTAGAAAAGCTCCTTGGTAGTTTGTACTGAAACATAGGACTATCTTCTATTTCACATCTCTATTTAACAAAATTGCAATTTCCCTCGTTTGTTTTCATTGACACACGTAAGGGACCAGACTTAACAAAAAAGAGAAAATGTTCAATTTGATAATATCAAAAATGGTGAACAAAAGGTCAAACTTCAATGCAATATAACTCAAATGATAAATAACTCAACTGAGGTTAACTGAACAGCAACCAAACACAAACAAAACTGACCTCCAGACACAACCAAGGCTGCTTAAATATGGGTGGACTGCCCCAAACTAAAATGTTTCGGGCAATAAAAAGTACAACAAAACACAAAACCCAACAAATAAAACTAAAGCATATTTAACTTAATACAAATAAGAATGTATTAAAATGACAAAATACGTTCCCCCTCCCTCAGTCTTTGGAACAATGGTGTGTCCACCTCCAGCTGGGCTGTAATTGGGTGTGGTAGGAGCATCCACCACAACACATTTGTACAGATGTGGTCATGTGAAAGCCTTGTTTCTAGACTATACATAATTCATAACTCTGTGCAGGTGTCACTCTCTTCCATTAAATCATACCTCTTCTCTCTCTCCTGCACGTTTGCCAGTCTCTTTTTTTCCCAGATCCCTAAAAGATTAATTGTCCCACCGTGTTTCTTGCTGGAACATGGAGCTTAATGGGATCTGTGTCTGTGAGGCGCCAATCCACGTCTTCCCCAGCTCCCGCGTTTTTTAGCCGGCCCATGGAATATTTATGAAGTTATTTAGAAAAAGGGCCCGGCAGGGTGAGTAATGGCCCTGCTTGGTGATTCACCGAGTGTCGCCTCAGAGCTGACAACGGAGAGCAGGCTGCTGAGGCACGGCAGGTACGTGCACGGCCCCAGAGAGAGCACGCCACAAGAGCAGGTCCACGCCACTAGACTGAGTTTCACAGGATTTGCTCGCGTTTTTTCATCAGAACACCAGTAGAAAAGGTCTGAGAACAGGGTAGCATTCAGCACCATGGACAGATCCACTGGCTGTTTTGTCTGATGACTGTAAAAGGGAAACCTCATTTTTTAACACTATAATGCCAAATGTATCATATTTGATACATGCGGTTTCTGAAGTCTTTTGGATCTGAGACTTTTTGCATCATTCAGTGGTAAAAGTTTGACTCAAACCCCTGTTGTGAACATTCAGATATTCCTGATAACAGCAAGTAGAAGACTACACCAAAATATATTTTTGACTTATTGCACGCTAATTTGATCAAAATAATTTCTGTTTTTTTTCTTCATATGTTGTTGAGGGGCCAAAGAAAGACTTCAGACTAAAAAAATCCAATATTCTTTCTATTTTTCTTGGATCGGGCTTTAAAGGTCTAAGCTTCTCGTAACATAAACATTGTCCTTTTAAGGAACAGACAGAATGTAGATACTTCTATCTCATTTTCCAGTTATGATTTTCCGCGTATTTGGATTGTAAGAAAGTCCAGGGCAGTGAGCTGGATGCAGAGCTAATAATGATTCTGTATGAAGTGATCTCGCATGCCGTTTTACTTTTAAAGAGGGAGCAGCAGGCTTAAAGCTGGACCTCCCAAGTTGCTTTGACAGGCACCATATTTACGTCTCTCCTAAAATCGTGTGCAGCACCGGGGCTGGAAACCACAGATATGCGGATTCTGGTGTAGAGTTTAGAAGTGGCAGAATAACTTTCCCAATTATCCAGTTTCAGACAGAATCTAGCTTAGCTTCCTGACTGTAAACACACTCCTCGTCTGTTTATGCGTGTTTGTGTGCCTGCGAGATGGACGTGTGTGTCCAACATGTCCGGACTTGGCAGGTGACTCAGAGTCTTCCAAACACATCGAGTTAACAACCTCCACCATAATGGTATTGCTGAGTGGCCCACTGTGCTGCTACAGAAATACAAATGAACCCTCACACACACACTCTTGTACACAGTCGCACACACACAACCCTTGACTAATTCCGAGGTGTGAGATTGAAATGTTGTTTGGACCGGCCCGAGTGCCAGCGAATCTTTTAAGAACTACAGACGTGCACAGTACAAGCCCTCGGCGTCAATGGAATGCTATGTTACCATGTCCATGCATAAAACGTGCACATCAAGCCTGAAAATATCCGATTCAGGGATGAAATATCCATGAATCTCATAATAAAATACACCTACTTTTGCAGATGGGCAAAACCACGAACCAAACTGTGTCATTAAGGGTTTGTTTTGCAAAAGCTTTGCTAGCTGGATGTCATGTTTAGTTTTTTAATAACTGCAGCGAATTGAGATACAGAGACTTCCAAGTATCCTTCAAGCATCTATTTGGTAGTCAGCAAACACTTTACACAGTCTGGTGTTATAGGCCAAGATCGTTTTTCACCGTCTCAATCTATAGCTTCAGTATCTCACCACCAAGAGGTTTTTAAATCGAGGTGTTAAAACAACTACAAGCTTGACAAATTTGCTATTGGAGAATCTCTAGTTTTTCCCATCCTCAGATTTTTTTTTTTCCACACCCTCCTTCCTCCAACTTGTTCTCAGCACCCTGTCAAGCAGTGTCTGCATACTCTGAGTCATTTGAGTGCAGTTTGCCATCAAACCGTCACTCCAAACTGTCCGTTGACTTCTCAACAATATGACTGATTGATTTTTTTTTTTATTTCCCAAAAGACTTTACTGGCAGATAGGCTGAGTTGTTGAAATCAGATGGGAAAACACTAACTTTTGCAGCTGAAAGTATCAAGCTGTAGTTCTTATCGGATGCTCTTTTTTTTCCTGTAGAAAGAAAATTACTTGGCAATCTTAGAAATCTTAAACTATTTTAAACTATAAGGTAAAATGAACAGCATTTCATCGTAAATCCCTGAAAAACGCATTCCTAATTCTGATTAAATGGATTTATTCAAATTCTGCACAAGCCTGCAAATGGCACATTGACATAAATCAGATGTGCTGCAGCAGGGAAACTTCTAAAGCTTTAAAGCAGGAGCCCTCGAGGAAAGAACGAGGAACCCCTGGTCTACCGTCTCCATTGAAGTCCTGCTCATAACAAACATTGTGAGCAAATATGTTATAATGCTGAATACCTTTATTTTAGATGGGTTGTGATGCTCTTCAATGGGTTAACTAGATGTTAATCTGATGTGAATGTGTATAACAATGGTCAGTTTACCTCCAAATCAGTCACAAGTAAACAGTTTAAAGCTTCTATTCCTTTTCATGGAAAAGTGGTATCGGTACATAAGCACATATGAGAATGTTGGATGGAGAATTTCCAATTTGTCTGTGTATTTGAGTAGCCTTTAGCCTTTGAGAAGGCTCGGACAGATTGTGTGTTTGTCTGCAGCTGAATAAGTAACACTATTTAGGAAGTTAGAAAATTCCCCTAGCATGAAATGTAATTTAATGCATGGTGAGACCTCCATATTGGCTGTAAAATCCTGATAAATATATTAGGCAGATGTAACCTAAAAGAGCACAGACCTGCAAAATATATGGCTGAAAACATCTGTACAAGCTTGATTTTGTGTCGGTAGAGACT